TGTTTGAGATAGACCTGAAATAGACCTGAATAGCTATTGAACTTTTTAAGACAGGAAAGACCCCATCAGGAACTTGAAGGCTATTTGTCAGTTTGAGTTGCAAATGGATTTTTGACAAGCAGTCACTTGGGATCTGTCCTTTCTTTAAAGTTCAAGCATCTGTTTGGACAGAAAGGAGAAAGCACAGACCTCCAAAAGGCTACTGCTTCCCCACCACCCCATCATCCCAGCAGACAAAGGAAATCGAGAGTAGGGATTTTTCCTCTCCATTCCGCCTCAGTTTTTTGCAATATTTCTGTAAATATCAGCCAGTTATCACAACTTAACTGTGGCTTCAGGACTCTTAGGACAGTGTGCATAGGCCTTTTATGATAGACATGAAATTCAATTTATCCTTTGAGTTGTTGTAGAAATATTTAACATGCCGGTTTCTCTGCCATGTCTTTGTTTTGGCAACACACCCCACAACAACACTCTTCATCTCAGCTGGAAAACACAGATCAAGCAAATGTGAACAAAACCTAATGTAAGTCTCAGGCTACAGTTTTTTTTTGTTTGCTTTTTAACATCACTTTTCATTGTCATTGAAGCTTGACTACACCCAGACTTCACAAAGAAGAGCCTGGACTGTGTCTGTTTAAGATGGTGAAAGATAATGCTTGACAGAACCGCTTATCTGCCCACCCACCAGTGGCAGAAATGCAGCAAATTGCTCAGAGAACAGCCAAGCCATTAGGCAAACATGATTACCAGTGACAGACAAGGTGATACTGATTAGCTCTCTGAGAAATGCTTTCTAAGCTAGGTAGAGCTAAGACCTAATACTTGTTAGGAACTTGGTTTGTTTGTCAGAACTAAAGGACACTGAGAGATACAGCAAGAACAGCACCCAAGGTGCAGGATGAACAGTAGAGACGCATTCCTTCCTTTGTTCCTTGTGTATTCTGATGACCAAGATAATTTAATTCGATACACAGATGCTCATAAGCAGTGAAATATTCCCTTTACTCTTCTCCCAGCAGAGTACCCTAAGGACACAAATGACTTTTCAGGCAATATTTGCTCCGCATTTCCTCTCTCCTGGGCACTTAGCCATAAAGAGGATAGAGTGCAGAGGAAAGAAAGAAGGGCCAGAGACCACAAAATATGCCTGCGTGGTTTACATGGGGTTAAGGATATTGTCATCAACCTGACTGTGGTCACTCCTTTTCTTCATATTTTCTAATGTCATGCAGTTCCGCTTGTCTGATGCTAACTCCTAGGCGAGGTAACAGGACCTGCACTAGTCCTGGAAGATGAAGGGATGGATTTGAAGTCATCTATTAATATGAGTGGCAGACTGCTTGCTGCTGCCATTCCCACAGGCCATCATTTCCCTTTCTCCTAAAGTTCAGATGTTGCATGCAATAGTGGAGAGAGGGAGCATATGGCCTCAACACACAGACACACAAAAGGCTTGTGGCTCAACCCCGACTTCTGCTGTAAGTGGATTTACAAAGCAGGTGGCCTGCACTTACACGGAAGGAACATCCTTTAGAGCAGGCAGATTGCCCTGCACATGGACATTTAAAACTCTAGATGTAGATGGAAATAAGACCCTGAAGGAGAATTCTGTCTTGGAAAGGTGGTTTTGGCTAGTTAAACATTTACATTTTTCTCCTTTACACTAAATCTAATTTGTCCATAAAATTCTCCTCTCAGCCCACGAGACCACAAACCATAAAATGTACAGTACGTGTTCACATGTGTGTTACCTCCCCCTGCTGGAGGAAACATGCTGAGACTGCAGAAACACTCTGAGTAACAGGACATGAACACACACTCATAGAGGAACAGGATTCTCAAAGTGTGTTTTGTTACTGCCCCGCTTTATAAAAGGGGGAGCTGAAGCTATTTATTCATCTTTTAACAAGAAAAATAGATTCAGAAGTCATTTCCTAATGCTAGTCCATGCCCCTCTAAACTCTTTTACAATTCTTGATATTTTGGGCTACTATGGATTTTATCAAGAACCATAGCATCATGCAGACTAAGCTTGAGGCCTTATTTTTTTTTTTTTTAAACTCAGGGCCTTTGCATGCTAAGGTGGCATTCTTTCACTGAGTTTGAGGCCCCACCCCAGGGCATGCCTTCCATCCTCTCCTATGTTTAGTAAGATTTCATCAAATGGAAGGAGATTGGAGAGATTCCTCAGTGGATCAGAGACAAATCAGAAACTTCTGTGGTTATTAGCCATGTTTTGGCTTCTTACTTTATTAATCTAGTTTCGTAGATCAATTTGTCTACACAGAAACCCGAAGGTGTGGACTCACTGCCCATAGTCACTTTTGATTCCCTGTTTTCATTTGTTCTTCTTTCAAGGAATCAGGGAAAACCTTCCATAGGCACATGCCACCTGTCTATGGAATAAGATATTCTGGTACATCAAACCTAGAGTGACATCTCAAATGTTGACAAGCATGGGCATGTGTTATTTTACACATATTTTTGTTTATTGATGGGAATCATGATTTTGGAAATTTACAGTATTTAAAATCAAAGGGCCACACCAAGCACAATGGAGAAAGTGTGCTGTATATCTTTGAATTAGGAAGAAAATGAGCTGGGATTTTGTGTGTGTGTGTGTGTGTGTGTGTGTGTGTGTGTGTGTGTGTATGTGTGTGTGTGTATTTGTTTGTTTTTAACTCTTTAATACTTACTGGATTTCTTTTATTCCCATGAAAATGTTCAGGTTCTAATTTTCTTATAATAATATTTTTTATTTAAATTTGAAACAAGCTTGTTTTACATGTCAATCCCAGTTCCCTCTCCATCTCCTCTTCCCCTGTCCACCCCAACCCCATCCCATCCCCTTTCAGCTCCCCAGGGAGAGTAAGGCCTTCCATGATGCATCATCAATGTCTGGATCAGTCTTATGCTGCTTTCCCAGCTATCAGTCTGGGGTGCATGAACTCCCCCTTGTTAAGGTCAGCTGATTCTGTGGGTTTCTCCAGCCTTGTCTTGACCCATCTGCTCACCTCTGCTATTGGATTTCAGGAGGTCAGCTCAATGTTTAGCTGTAGGTGTCTGCTTCTGCTTCCATCAGCTACTGGATGAAGGCTCTCGGGTGGCATATAAGGTAGTCATCAAGCTAGTTATTAAGGAAGGACCTTTAAGGTAGCCTCTCCATTATTGCTTAGATTCTTACTTGGAGTCATCATTGTAGATATGTGAACATTTCCCTAGTGCCAGATTTCTCTTTAAACCTATAATGGCTCCCTCTATTATGGCATCTTTTTTTTTCTCTCTCTCCTCTGTTCTTCCCCTGACTCAATCTTCCTGCTCCCTCATGTCCTCCTCTCCCCTCCTCTTCTCCCCTTCTCTTTCTCCTAATTCCTCTCCCCTCCCCCAATGTTCCCAATTTGCTCAGGAGAACTTTTCCCTTTCCCCTTCTCCAGAGGACCATGTTTGTCTCTCTTAGTGTCCTCCTTGTTTCCTAGCTTGTCTGGTGGTGTGGATTGCAGGCTGGTGATCCTTTGCTCTATGTCTAAAATCCATACATGAATGGGTACATACCATATTTGTCTTTTCGTGACTGGGTTACCTCACTCAGGACGGTTTCTTCCAGTTCCATCCATTTGCTGGTGAATTTCAAGATTCCATTGCTTTTTCTGCTGAGTTGTACTCCATTGTGTAAATGTACCACATTTTTTCCATCTATTTTTCAGTTGAGGGGCATGTAGGTTGCTTCCAGATTCTAGCTATTACAAATAATACTATGAGCATAGTTGAACAGATGTCCTTAATATTAGGGGTTTTAATTCTATTCCATTGGGCTACTTTTGTGCCAATACCAAGCTGTCTTCAGGACTATGGCCATATAGTATAGTTTGAAGTCAGGGATGGTGATGGCCCAGGAAGTTCCTTTATTGTACAGTGCTGTTTTGGCTATCCTGGATCTTTTGTTTTTCCATATAGTATTGAGGATTGTTCTTTCAAGGTCTGAGATTTTGATGGAGATTGCATTGAATCTACAGATTGCTTTCGGTAAGATTGCCATTTTTACAATGTTGATGCTACCTAGCAAAGAGAATGGGAGATTTTTCTGTTTTCTGGTATCTTCTTTAATTTCTTTCTTTAAAGACTCACAGTTCTTATTATATAAGTTTTTTCCTTGTTTGGTTAGCTGTTTCTATTTTGTGCCCTTGCAAATAATTTGAACATTTTAAAGATATATTTTGGCTGAAAATCTTCCACTTGCATTTTTAACTCATGAAATAACTTATTTTAAATATGTTTTCATATTTATTAAGTTTAAAACATACTTTCTACTTTGATCATTGCAGCAAGATACCGTAACTGGAGTGGGGTTTTTATACAACTCTAGTTATGTATAAGAACAGCAAACCCCCTCAAATTCATCTCTTCTAATTCTGGACCTTTGAAGTCCGAGCTAAACACAATAGCAGATGTGGTATTTGGTTGGGGTCTGGTTCTTAGGACACACGTATTTATGTGCCCTTACATAATAGACAAGAGGGGAAGGATATGTTTGAGGGCTCTTTCACAGGGACCCTGGTCTCATTCATCAGTGATCTATGTTCATCACAGAATTTTCTAAAAGCTTCTTCTCTCAACACCATCTTTATGATTAGATCTCCTATAATTTTAGGGACACAAATACACAGATTACAGAAAACCAAAAGTTTCTGAAATGTATTTGTAACATTTACTTTCCATCTCCTAGACATATTGCTATTTCTACAGTCATTTTGTGTACTGCTTTTAGGGAGCTGTAAGTTAAATCAGCTGCAGAATGGATTCAAAAGGGAAAAGTTATCTGGGTTATCTATGTCTCAAGGGGACAAAGAAATAGAACAACCATCTCCTACCTCCCTTCTCAAGGAGATCATTGTTCTTCTGGTTTAAGTTAAAGGAGGTTGTTTATAAAATATATCCACATGACAGTGTACTATGCTTTACTTTTCTACAGGACTCAATTACAGGAACTGTCAACTCCTTGTATTTCTCTTCCACTATGAACAGACCAACTCTGCTGCACAGCTCTATGACTTTCTGTAGCATTCTCTTCCTCATCTTAGCCACACAATGTCTAGCTTTCCCAAAAGTGGAAAAGAGGGAGATAGCACCTGCTTATGCGGATACACAGCAGTCCCAGAAGATTAGCACAGGTGACACAGAAAACACCTTCTTTGCTCCAAAGCACATGTCCCAGCCGATGTCCTCTGACGCTCCTATGGTACTGTCTGCAGGATCATCAGTGATGCAATTAAATAAAGTATTCTCTGTCAATAAAGAACACCATCATTCAGGAGCTGGGTTTCTGAATCCTAACTTCCCTGATGTTCACTCTTCCAGTGAGCCATTGGTCTCAGCCAGTGAAGAAGGGCATGGTCCCAGTCAGCTTGAAAGGATGTCTCCTGAACACAGACTTTCCAAGGCCATGGCAATCACTGCTGCCTCATCATCTACTTCTCTTAATCCTCACCAGGAGGGACCACATAGCAGTTCTAGCATCCAGCCCATTATAGAAGGAATCACAGATGTAACAGGTGACTTCCTGAAGTATGTGGATAATCAGTTGTTTGCTACTGAAAGTCAGGAAGCAGTTAGCTTGGGAAATATGCCTTCGTCCTATATAAATACTAAAGAAATGCTACCTGACAATCCAAGAACTGAGAAAGAGGAAACATATGCATCCAAGGGGATGACTGCCATTCCTGGTGTTGATTCCACAACAGACACAGAGCCTGATGGGAAGACTCCCACAGAGAGCCCACATGGCATATCCCAGACCACTGCCGCCACACACACCCTTGAAGATATCTTGAATATTGAGCCAACAGCTGACAGTCTTCTGGGGAACCTCAAGGTCACAGTGAGTGTCAGCACAGCTGTTCCAATTTCTTCTGTCTCAAATGATGAGTGGGGTGACACCAAATTTGAAAGTGTAAGTCAGACAAGGACCACAGATTCGGCAGACAAGGCAGAGACTCAAGTGAGTACGGAGCCCCCACATAAAACACATGAGAGCTTTGAAGGTACTGAGGATACCCTTACTTCTACAGACATTAACAAGGTGGCTTCAGGGCTGCCTGAAGGAGAAACACCCTTGGGGACAGCCCTGATAATTGCACTGAAGGAAGTGAGATCACCAGCTTTTACCCACCAAGTTCCCTTTACTTCCACGAGTCTGACAGAAGACCCTGAAGTTTCCACTATGAACCTGTTCCGAAGTGCTGGAGGCTTCACCACATCCTCTTTGGAGGATAGGAGCATGCTTTTCTCAAAAACCATGGTTTCTACCTCTCAATATGAGTCCGACACACATCCAGCAGTAGGAAATAAGTTAAAAGGTAAGAGGGAAAAGTAAAGAATTAATACAGCCACAAAACACCCCCAAACATTGTTTGATTTGGAAACTTTCAAATTGGATTCATATTTTTAGTTTTGAAATTTTTTGAGATAGGATCTTAAAAGAATTCTGTAAGTTCACTATTTTCCTAATTTTGTCCCTGACTGCCAGGACTGTAGATGTGTGTTATCATGCCTGGCTGGTTTTATTTGTTTGTCTGTTTACTTTGGTTTTAGCCTTAAATTTACCATGTAAGTCAGTTGACCTCAAACATAAGACTGTTCTAGTGCCTCCTCCATGAGTAGTGAGATTATAGATGTGTGCTGCTAATATAGGCTTTGGTTTTACTTTTTCATGGTGACTTAGAAACGGTTAATCAAAATACTCAAGTACATCATAGATATTCAATAAAAGAAATCATACCCTCCATATGTCAAGTTCTTTAACTAAGGGCAGTTCCCTGCACACCCTACCCCTCCTTGAGATACTAGACAATGTTTGGAGATGTTTCGAGTTGTTTTGGCTGAGGGTTACTTCTGACATCTCCTGATTAGGGGGCAGGGATGCTTTAGAACATTCTCCATCTGCAGGAGTCGTTCTAGAAACAGATGTCAGTTGTCTCAGCCAACAGCATTGCAACCAGTGTAGAAATACATATAAAATATGAAGGAAGCAGGTATATGTTTTAGTTTTGCAATAATGTGTGAGCTATTTATAGCTCATTTCAAAATATATGTACATCTCTGATATTTCTCACTAAAAATAATTAGGTGAAATTTAACTAGTAGTATTAACTACCTGGGTTCTCTTACCTTATCTACTCAAAAACAAATTGTTCAGAAATAACATGGAGGGAAAATATCAATCATCTACTGGCTTCATTCTGAATTTTCTACTTTTTCTTAGTTTCTACATCTTTGAATATTAGAAGATGAAACTCTAATATTGGTTACGATGGATTATGTTTTATTATGTGTTTGGTCACATAATAGCTTCTGGAAGGAAAAACTTTGTGTAAGTGCATATATTCATTTGAAATTGTTTTAGAATATGTAATATTTTTACCTGGGCCAAGTAACCTATTAATGAAAAAACAAAACAAAAAACAAATAACAACAACAACAAAAAACCCAGATTTGTATTTTGGCTCATAAAGTTTTCTTGAGATATAATTAAAATAGTAAAAGTGATCATTTGATAAATAAAAAAAGTAAGACTGAATAGTTTACATGCCTATTTGAGTTTTTAGGTTTTTGCTTGTTTGCTTGTTTGTTTTGAGACAGTATTTCAAGTTGCTCAGATTCACACTTGCTAAATAACCAAAGCTGGTCTTTAATGCTCGATCTCTTACCTTAGCCTACATTACATGAACACGTCTATATTGTTGAATTTTGGAGTTCTACAGCCATAAGCTAAAAAGTAAAATGGATTTGATAATATTCAGGCTATTTTGGTGATCCAATATGATCTCAGTAATAATGGCCTCACTTGCCTACTGTTTTGTGAACAGGCTCTATGGTTAAAAGCCCATACTGCTCCTGCAGAGGACCTGAGCTTAGCTCCCAGCGTCCACATCATGTGACTCACCTGGAACTCCAGGTCCAGGGAATCCTGCATCCTCTTCTGGCCTCCATGGGCAGCTACACTAATGTGCACAGACACATGCACAAACACATACATAAAAGTAAAACAATTGAGAAAAAGATGTCTACTGAAAAACTACTTTGTGCAAGGTACTTTGCTTCATGTTTGGAATATAAAGACTGCCTGTTTCAAAAAATAAATAAATAAAAGGAAGGAAGGAAGAAAAACAGTAGGTAAATATTGTTTTTGATTTAATAGTGAAGGAAACTGAAGGTTAAAATTGTTCAGCAATTGGCTTAGGATCACAAAGCTAGAGAGTAGTTGAATCAAAATTCAGACCCAAGTAAGTTGACTCTTGACTGCACTCTTGGATATTGTAAGATAGGTTTCCATGGGTGGTATTACTATCCTTCTCATTTAACACATGTGACAGGGTAAACTAGGAGTGAACACCACATCATGCCTGCCCTTCCTGTCCATCACAGAAACTAGGTAAGCACTGGTTGGTGTAATTATTATTTTTTTTATTTTAAACTGCCAATTTTCTTTCCTCTTTTTATATATGCAGATGTGAACAGTAATATGGAAAAATACTTCTGAGGGATTTTATTGTGAATTAGTTCTGTTTCTTAACAGGCTGATTCAACCAACATTCAAGCATGTCTGAGAAGCTCAGCTACCAATCTTCCTATTTTGCTTCAGTTGTATTCTAGGTTTTTGTTTATTTAGTTGGTTTTACATTTCCTTCTTTACTTATGCCTTATATTGTCCCACAACACCCCCAAGCAGTTTCAGTAACATTTGTTTACTGGCCTTTGATTCCCAAGTTGTCTTTGTTTTGGTCTCTGAAACAGCTATCTACACTTTTCAATTAATTGACCTCATAGTGACTTTAATGTTTTCGAATTTGGCCTATTTAAAAATGTTTCCCTCCTTTTCAGACATCACTCAAGAATTGGCAATGGCCACAGGAGAACCAGACCCGACATTACCCTTGCTGACACAAGACCGTATTGAGGGTCCCAGAGGCAGTGGGGAGCCTGAAGAAGGCATGCCATCCCCATCTCCCATGTCTGCTGATGTGGATGCCACTGAGCCGTCCAGACAATGGGAGTCTCTGGCCACTCCAGCCTCCACCACTGTTGTCCCTTTGCCTCTCGGAGTTACCTCTTCTATGGGAGGTCAGTAGGAATGTGTGGGGCCAGTGTTTGAAGGAGTGTGGATCTTTACTGTGGGTTACTGGATGAGTGAGGCATCTAGCCTTTCACTGTCCTTAGAAAGATGGCCAGCTCTCTTTGCTTGTAGAAACGTGTTAAGATCTCCAAGGATGAGATGACTCTTCTGGTCCCCAAGTCCAAGCATGCTGATGTGGGGAAATGTAAAAATAGCAAGGATCTGTTTTGGAGCCACCTTTGGCCCTTTCTAAGACTGTGGCCTTAGGAGAGCTAATGAACTTCTATAAGTCTCTATTCATTTCCAGTAATGTCTACTTAGGTTATTGTAAAGAATATGTGAAAAGGGCTTTCTATAACATAGACCCTCAGGTGTCCTGCTCTCTCAAGGGCAATGAAACTTTAACATCTGGCTGATCATCAGAATCATATATATATTTGTGTGTATTGAGAGAGAGAATGTGTATATACTTAAGAAAATGCATATATAGTTCTTCATTTCTCTGTTTCATCATTGTCCAAGTAAAGATAAGATATTTAGTGAGATGTTTTAAAAACTGTAATAAATACTTTCTAATCCTACCTCCTAACCCTTCTTCCAAAACAAAGCAGCACAAAACTCAACTCTAGAGTCTTGACAATAACCTTCATTACCCTAGCACCAGGTTTTGCCGTAAGCCCATAGTGGCTCTCTCTATTAAGATATCTCTTTCATTGCTCTTCCACTGCATCCCTCCCTGTCTCAGCCATCTCATTACCTCCTGTTCTCATCCCTAACCCCTAAATGTCTCTCTTCTGACTGGGAACCAGAATTATTAATTTTGTTTTCATAATCTTCACTCCACACCACCTCCAGGTTTTGTGTATCTATAATTAGTACTACAAGTACACATTTTCTTTTTTGTTGTTGTTGTTTTTAACTTTATAAGAAAAATTATAACACAAAAAGTAAAAGACTCAGAGACTGATATTAGGGTTAATGCTGAGGGTCAGATAAGCAAAGCTGCCAAGCCACTAGCCTACCTCTACCTGAGGCTGAAAGGGCTGATCCTGTCTCGACAAGCTCTCCACCAAGCCTCAGACTACTGCCTCTCCTCATGTGGCTGGAGAATGAATGCCTTCCTATCCTAAATGTGGCTGGAGAATGAATACTTCCAGCTCTGAGACCCTGTTCATGTCTTAAATACCTCTCATGAGTTCTGGGATTCAAGGCGTGAACTCTGTTACTCTTTTAGACTGATTCAATATCATGTAGCCATTGGTGGCCTTGAACTCAATGAGATCCATTGGCCTCTGTCTTCTGAGTCCTGGGATTAAAGGTGTGTGCCACCACTGTTTAGTTTCTATGGTTAACTAGTGCAGCTGCTTTGCTGTTTTGATCTCCAATGGCTTTAATAAATCATAAACAATATATCCCCACAAAAATACTTTACTAAAGGTATTTTTTTTGAACTTTGCATTTTAACTTACTGTTCTGATTGCCAGACACCCTGTAGTTTGTTGTTGTTCTGACCATCATATCATACTCAGTTATGGAACACATCTCATTATTCTCTTGGTCTTTATCTGTGCTCCTGCTGTTTGCTTTTGGGCTGTTCCCAGGTATAGCTGTTGTGACTACAGCTGTTATGATCACTCTTCTGCATGTTCTGCATTGGACCTGTGAAGGACTATCTCATACATAGTGGAGCTGCTGGCCATAGGATATATGGGTATTTGACAATATGGGCCAATGTCTCCTTTTCATAGTGGTTGCTGTACAAATTTATATCCCCATAAGAAATATAAAAGGACTCTGTGACTCAGAATCATGGGAATTTTATATGTATGTATGAATGTATGTATGTATATGTATATTTCCTCTGGCTCATGGGTAGGAAGTTGGGAATGTGTCAATTCTGTCTGGGTAGATTCTGTTGATTCAAGCAATGATTGTTGTAGTTTCTATAGATGTGGGACACTTGGGGATTCATGTGGATGCTTTGAAATAGAGTCTTCTTTAGTCACAGTTCTAGGTTCAGACACTTCCACATGATTTTATGAAGCATAATTGTTCTTTCCAAAGTAATTCTTGGCATTTAGTACATCTTTTTGTCACATTTTCTGCCTTTGGTACCCTATACAAAATTCTGTGCCATCCATTATACTGTCAATAGAATATGTGGGAGATTAAATATTAAAAGCCAAATTATGGTTTGAGACTGTGTCTCTTTCCATGTGATGAAGTGTTTTCTGTGTGTAGCTGCATTGATGTGAGAAGGGGAGCTGAACTAAGTCCTGAATTTACTGTGTTTAAGACTCTGATTCCTTGTCGTTCAAAGCATATGTTAACATATTCTATAATGATTATCTTGTGTGTCAGATCTTGACTCTTGTGCTTTGCAGACCTGATGGATACAATCACTGGGCCAAATGAGGACTTCATACCCATTTTGAGCTCTCCAATGACACCCCCTGCAATGACTATGGAAGCTCCTACCATTTCTCCAGTATTTCCATCTGAGGGAAGAACTATTCTGTCTACCAACCACCCAAATACAGCTGCATCCTATGGCCTGGAACAACTTGAATCTGAAGGTACCCTTGTCTCTGACTACATATTTGAAAAACAAATAAGTATGTGTAAGTTTATGTCGCTTGGGTTAACTGTCCTGTCACCAAAGGCATTTTTAATAAAACCCTCTGCCTGTGGTTTCTCCCTGTGGTTCCAATTGCATTTACATGGGCAGGATGTGGCATTAACATATAAAATGAGTGTCTTAGTTGGTTCCATTATGCAAACTGGAAGAGAATAGTAAGTTTAAATGGAGGAACTGTGGTTTTTTCCCCATCTGATTATGTTTATAGGTTTCCTGCCTTTTCCTAACATCACTCTATCAGCACTGGGATGTTCTGTTAGCAACATCTTAGAGTTACTGTCTAGAGATAAAGTTTCTTTATTAATTAATGCTGAGAAATTCATGACAATTTGTACTGTTTAAGACATTGGCTTGTGCCATGAAAAATGTAATGGAGGCATAGCTTCACATCAACAGTGAGAATTGAGATAGGTTGCATGGTCGCATGACTGAGTGAGTACCCTGAAAAGTAACAGAGTATCAGGTTGGGGATGCAAATGTTTGGAGTTACAGGGATGCTAACTCAGAATATTGGGACACCCTTTCTAGGCCTTCAGCCATATCCTAGGTGAACAAGAACAGAAGTACTGGGATTTTATGTTTCCTCAGCTGCAAAGAAGAGGTTCAGCTGGGTGTGCAAGAGATGCTCCCTCCTATAGAGATGCATTTCACCTTCTTTTTAAAATCGTGAAGCTATGTGTGTGTCTGTATGTGTGAATCCCATGTGTGCGTTGGTGGCCTTAGAGGCCAGAGGCATCAGATCTGTTGGGATTAGAACCACAGGAACTTTCCATGGGTGTTGAGAATTGAACATGGATCCTCTGCAGAAACAATACACAACCTTAACCACTGAGTCATCTCTCCAGGCCAAGTCTCATAGCTTTCCAGGTGACCCTTGCAGTCTGCTCACTGAGAAACATGGAATTTTAAGAGTAGCTTGGAGAATTTCACAGAGGAGGTCCAGTCCCAGAGGCTAACATCCCTCTCAAATCACATGAAGACAGATACCTCATGGCTTTGGGCTCAGTGCCTCATGTTTTCAGTTCCCTTGAATACCATCTATAAAAAGGAAACAAAACCAGATTTCCTTAAATTAACTTGAGATATAGCTGGCAAGGCTCATTAAATCAAAGAAAAAATATATTTGTGAATAGTCTATCCTTGTAAAACTGTAGTAATTTTCTATATTTAGTAGGTGATGGCAGTTGTGTTGGAATATGTGAGAATTTTTCTGACATGCCTAAAGATATCCTGGGATTTGAGATCTTTTCTTGTACACAATTCTGTTTCAGCTTTCTTTTCGAGAATATGTTTTGTCAGGTTTTGACCCTTAATTATGATTCTTGCCAAGGATTCTGAAAGACATTTCTGGTTAAACAATATTATTTCTGTTACATTGTTGGGCTTAAGCTAAGATCTAGAGTTAGATAAGCACATAATTTTTCCTAAAGGCCAAGGTTCATACTATATGCTAAATCATTGTGTAATACAACATAAGAATTTTAAGCTGGTGTTTATTTCTCGGAAAGCTGAAAAGGCCTTCCAAGACTCCTGGATTAATAGGCCCTCCAATTTTAGCATGTGTTTTCTGCCTTTACTAGGAATGTTTTGACATATTCACTAGGGAAGCATTTTAATTTCACCATAGAATTAAAACCAGAAGAGAATTTACTCTTAACAAAATAATGTATTAGTTATGTCACATTTTCTTTAACTGCCTTTCAAGGTGGCTTTGTTTTTGAGACTGGGTATTAGAATTATTCACTGATTTGGACTTAGATATAGAATGAGTTTGAGGCCAATCTAGGACACATCAGACTCTGTCAAAACCAGAAAGAAAATGTATAATTTTTTGTTTTATTTTTAATGTCTTCCTTTCTATAAAAAGACAGAGTCATTCCTCCAGATAATTGAGGGCATTTTGCCTCCATGGGATATGTAAAAAAAGAATGCCCATATTGGATAACAGACACCCAAAGAGACAGAGCTTAGGAACTGTGCAAATTCAGAATCCACTGATCTATTTATCATGTGAGATAACGAAAAGCTCCAAACAGACTAAAGATGCCATTTTTTTATTGCATCATCATTTATATTTCTCACATATGGTGACTAAGAATGTGTGCTAGTTTCTTGAAGCGTCCATAAAATTTCCACAAGCTCACAATTGCTTTAAATAATAGCACCCTATTCATGTGCCATTCTGGAGCCCCAAACACCAAGCAGTGGTGTAAATGAGCCACAGTCCCACCAAAGCCTGTAGGCCAAGAACTGCCTTATCCCCCATCAGTTTCTGTTAGTCCAAGAACTCACCCCGACCCCCAGTTCATGGCAGCATAACTCCCGTGGCCTCATATGACTGTCTTTTCATGACTCTGCCCCAGTTTCCTTCTTTTACTGGGTCACAAATCAGTGGATCAGAAGCTACCCTAATAATTTAATCGTAATTTGGTGGTATCTGGCCAGACTCTGCTTATGAATAAATAAAGCCATGTTCACAATTACCACTTATTAAACTGAGGGCACAATTCCACACGTAACAGGGGTCTTCTCCCAGATGGCTTGGCAGCTGGCTCTGAGAGCACATAAGCATCTCTGATCATCTGCCCAAGTGACATGAATTGGTGGAGTAGGAAAAGTGTAGGTGAGTTTTGCTTTCTTGTTCCCTGAGGAAAGCCTCCTTTTGTAACTGTAAGCCACCTTCTGCTTATTTAGTAAGTCTTCTACTACATCAACAAAATGCAGTTTTATTTCCAAAGGGATAATAGTTTATTTTTCACCTTAACAGATATATTTACTTTCATGTACATTTTTTTTTAAAAAAAAGAAAGAGTATTTTCAGTATGAATTTTTTAAAAAAGCACTCCATTTAGTAAAGATATAACTCTACTAGTATGTCAGCATTTCTTAAATGCAAGCTTGTCAAATGTTAATTCATAAAGATATGATAATGGGAAGTTAATATATGCACCTAGTTGTTTGTACATATGTTAATTTTTAGATGTTAATGTTTGTGTGCACTAAAGTACTAATTTAAATTTTCAATGCTGATATTAAATGGAATAAGATTCAATAATATTTTAAGGCTTCTACTTTCTGTATGTTAAAAACGAATATCTATTTGCTTTATGTAATTTAAAATCATTTTGTGTTTTGTTTATTTCCAAGGAGATAGAAGTTAATCTATGTTGCAAAATTACAACACTGATTCTTCAGGAAGTAAGACATTGCTTGAAAATCCAGCATTTAGAAACACCGATAGGGTGCTTGCCTAGCACATGTAAGTCCCTGAGTTCAATCCCTAGTACTGCGAAAAGGAAAAGAACAGAATTCAGTATTTAGAAGAATTTTCAGCGGCTTTTGTTTCTGTCAGATACAAAGTTTATGTGAGAGCTATGAAATTAAACACTGAGATATCTCAGGTCTTGTGATTATCCTCCTTCTGTTCTCTCATCTCCTTTGTTAAATGTCTGGATATGAGAGACCAGTGCATCAGTCAGAGACAGGAAGATGTGGAGATCAGGCTCTCCTTGGATGCTGCAAGAGATGAAGAAATGCCGGGATGCTTTATCTGGAGAACCTGAGTTCAATGTTAGGGTTGGTCCTGTTTAATGAATGTATAAGCCCAAGTTGCGACCATGTTTTATCCCAGACAATTCCCATTTTTTTAAATGTGATAAATGAACAATAATCTTACAATAAATACAGTGATAATGAAACAGTAGTTGACTTGCTGCTGGGGGATTACTTTTTGTATATTTTCTTTAATAATTATAAATTGATTCATATACAGTATATAATCATGATAAAATATACATTTCTCTCTAGAGATGACATAAGGATTTCAGGAGAAAGTAATGTTTTTTGTTTTGCTTTCCTTTTTGAGGCAGGATTTCATTTTGTGTCCCTGTCTAGCCTGAAACTGTCTTTATAGAGCAGGCTGGCTCTGAACTCACAGCGATCTATCAGCTTCTGACTCACAAAAGCTGGAACAGAAAGTTGTGTTTGGAAAGGATGACTTTATTCAGGCAACTGAGATGATCCTTTTGGCAATGTGATGGGCTTCTTGCAGTTTGACTAAAGTCAAAAGGCTTTGTCTTTTCTTGTTGGTTAATTAGAATGCAATTTGGAAGTTCCCTAAGAGGCAGTATAAACAGTTTTTCAGATACTTTCCTTGGAAGCTCACTGAGGACAGTGAATGGCTCCTTTAACTTAAAATAATATCTAATTTGGATGGGTGTTTTGCCTACATGTATGTATGGGTACCACATGGATGCCTGGTGCCCACAGAGGCCAGAAGAGAGGTGAATACCCTAAAACTGAGATATACATGGTTGTAAGCTGCCATGTGGATTTTGGGAACTGACCCACGTCCTCTGCAAAAGGAGCCAGTGCTCTTAGCCTATAAGCCTATTCTCCAGACCTCTGTGCATCGTTTGTAAGGGTCTTCTGTAGCAGATTTTGAAAAGCAGATTGCTGGCCATTTCAGTTATCGATTGCCTCTTAAGGTAGGTCATTTTGTTGTCTTGCCCTGAAGTCATTATGCTTTCTTAGGCATCTGTGACAGGCCTCTCCAAAGCATCTGTCAGCAGTCTAGGGTAGCACAACCAATCCCTTACCACTCAGAATGGCTGTCACATGCTTGCTAGTAATATTAATTTGGTCAGTGGTATTTTAAAAGTATGTTAAATTAAAATTAGGATGCACTGCTATGAAGTTATATCCACAAATTCTGCCACTGAAGAAAGACAGTTGACCTTTGCTCTGCCTTTGTTGTATGTTTTCTTACCATAGGGAATAATTCATTAGTATATCTACACAGTTCAGCAACATTGTTACTGCAGAGTTAATGTCCTCCATTGGTGTGTGTGTGTGTGTGTGTGTGTGTAACTTTTTGTACATTTGTGCATGTGCACTTTTCTTGCCTAATCCAATACTGGTTGTCATGCTCATCTTTAG